CTGTTAAGGGTCACAGGAAACCCTGCTTCCTAGGTGTGTTATGATGGTTCCATGCATGGACACAAGCCAGCTCATTAATTCTGATACTACTATGAATGGAGTCCCAGTTGGGTGTTTTAGACCATGCAGAAGAGGATCTGGTCCCTCTAAGGCCTCTCTCGGGCTTGTACACAATCTGTAAGTTCAAGATGAAGACACAGGATGCACTTAATAAATTGAATATACTAGTTAAGAAAGCCAGTAAAGCAGAGAATACACTAGAATGTACTTCATGGGCACATATGTGTATCAAAAGGGGGCATTAGTAAAGACGGGGTAAAGTGGGCTATAAACACCGAGGAAAACATCAGGGAAATCAGTTTTGGATTTGGTCGTCACACTGGCGAGGCTGTGCAGCGAGCCAGGAAGAGGCCGCATGAGGCGTGAGAGCCGCATGAGGCTAGAAACGGGATGTGCGCAGTGCGTGCTGGGAAGGCAGACAGAAGCACATGTTAGCGAAAACAGTAAAAACAGCGGTCCAAATCCTCAGGAGCACGGCTGGCATTTGTTGAATGTTTATTTGGCAGCACCTTGAACTCCTTGCCTCCCCCAAACCCAAGGCCCCCTTTTACAGAGAGGGAAACTGAGGCTTCAGAAGTTCGTCATTATGTGAGGTCCTCCACTCCTCTCCACCTACACAAAACGGGCAGAGTTTGTGCCTCTGTCCGCTCCGTTAAGATGCTGTTTAGAACAGTCCCCAGTCCTTTAGTAAGCACCATGGTGACTCACTAAGCAAGCAGGAGACACATGCTGGGAAGGAAGAGCCTTTCCACACCAAAGAACAGACAGAAATCTCCACAATGGGCATGAACAGCTATTGACCATGGCCTCCTTGTCTTGCAGAGGTGACATCGAAGACCCCACATCTGATCCGTGAGTTGGCTCTCATGCCGTTACTTAGCCCTCACTTCTGGTCCATACTTCTTCCTCTGCCGCCACGTCTGAGGCTTTTACTGGTGTCCTTGGCTTTCTCTCTCTCCCGTGTTTCCTAATTCTCCAGAAATCTCCACAATGGGCATGAACAGCTATTGACCATGGCCTCCTTGTCTTGCAGAGGTGACATCGAAGACCCCACATCTGATCCGTGAGTTGGCTCTCATGCCGTTACTTAGCCCTCACTTCTGGTCCATACTTCTTCCTCTGCCGCCACGTCTGAGGCTTTTACTGGTGTCCTTGGCTTTCTCTCTCTCCCGTGTTTCCTAATTCTCTGTACAAAGCTATCATGAGCAAGAGATTCTATCTGCACATATCTGACAGTCAACCATCATGTCACTGTATGTTGATAATTATCTATTTAATTTTCTAATCCCTTGTTTTTAACAAAGAAGACACATTTAGATACCCCACATTCTGACATTAAGGAGAAGTTAGCAAAGCCCAGATGTATTAGTAACCTTTCGTGTTGCTATTGCTGTGATAAAATGCCTGACAAAGCAACTCGAGGAAGAGAGGTTTATTCCAGCTCGCAGTTTGCGGGCATCGTGATTAGGAAGGCGTGGTGGTGCGGGTGGCTCTCGCTACAGCTGGGCCTTGAGGCATCTGGCCACATTGCTGCTGCAGTCAGGAAGCAGACAGAGGTGGATGCTGGTGCTTGGCTTGCTTTTTCTGTTTGTTCAGTTGGACCCCAGCCCACAGGGTGAACCCACATCCAGGCACAGCTTCTAACCTCAGTTAAAGCTCTGTGGAGACGCCATCTCAGGTGCTTCTGGAGGTTGTCTCTTAGTTTGATGATAATTCTGTTTAAATGAAATGAAGGCTAACCATCATGAGACGTGAGCAAGAAACATGGCTGTGTCCCCCAGAAGGACAGACTGTGAATGTTTGCATTTTAGCACCCAGCGGAACAAGTTAAGAGCTGTTACATTTTTAGCGACTGGGTAGAGGAATGTTATTTCAGTTGACTTCCATACACCTGAGGAACATGGACCCATGTGAGAAGAGGGTTTGATTTGGGATGTCCTTTCTTATATAAATGGCAGGGAGAAACAATCAATGGGTATCTATTGAAGACTGATCTGGGAATGCTTGACTTCCCAAGTCCTTCCTTCTTATAGAAGATCTCTTGTCTCCACAGCCACTCCAACAGCAGCATCCAAGACGGTAACAGAAAGACCAGGTAAGTCTCGGAACCCACCCATCCCAGTACCAAGTGTCTTCTCTCTCAGGACCTGCATCTGTGCCTGCTTCGTTTATAGGGACTAGAACTGTGTAGAACTGCGCACAGTTTATCTGTTTGCAAATGGGCTAGCTGATTCGACCCAAGCTTTGAGGACCATTCGAAGCTTGTGGAATCTTCTGACTCAGAATGAGCAAGGTTGTTCTGTTAGCATTGTCTTGTGTTTCTCAGGTTTTGCATTCGTGCTTTCAGCTCCCTCAAGCCTGTGTAGTCTACAGATACTTACAGTGGGCTTTTCTCACTTCTTCTTGAGTTAGCCTCATATCTAAATCATTAGTTGTTGTTGTTTTTTGTTTGGTTTTTCTAAACGAGCAGAGGATCAGAGCCATTCCACAGGAAACGTCAGAATCAGGAACTTGAATATAGATCTGTCCATTACTACGTGTGGGATTCAGGCTAGATCATTTTAATTCTACTTTCAGTCCCTTCATGGGTAAAATCAGTATACCAACACTCTGATGTGCTACCCTTGAGTTACCATAAAGGTGACCCTTGAAAGAGTGTCACACACACACAAAAATCACAAAGCTACAAATTTTTTTTCTACACTTAGCTAAAATGAATTTGTACATACTTCTGGCACAATAGATACTCAATTCATATATTTTGTTTAAACTGGATGTTATTGACAATCTTAGGGACCTATTAAAACTCCGCTTGGGGGTTTCTGAGTAGCAGGTTCTCTCTATCTAACAGTATTTGGGGTGGGCAGCTCAATCTCATCATAGAAAGGTACCATGCCCCTAGATAACAACAGTCACCAGGTCTCTGTCTACAGGGGTCTGGCCAGAGCTGCGGCTGGTGGGTGGCTCCAGTCGGTGCTTGGGACGAGTGGAAGTCCTCCATCAGGGAGCCTGGGGCACCGTGTGTGATGATCTGTGGGACCTGAATGAAGCTGAGGTCGTGTGCAGACAGCTGGGGTGTGGTCAGGGCGTGTCCGCCCTTGGGAAGGCCCACTTTGGTGCTGGCTCAGGAGATATCTTCCTGGACAACCTTCAGTGCTCTGGAGTGGAGCACTTTCTGGGCCAGTGTGCCCATTCGGGCTGGTCAGACCACAATTGCGGCCACCATGAGGATGCTGGTGTCATCTGCTCAGGTACGCAGTCTGATTTCCTCATTTGGCAATAGCGATTACCAGTGAGTGCTTTACAAAAACATGCAGAAAACGTGACTGAATATGGGAAGTGTTTGGAAGCCGAGGTAAAGGTGCCCATTGAAGGAGGCCATTTGCAGGAGGCCAGGGCAGTCTAGGGCTGGTCCTCAGAGCCGCTGGGAACTCCTAGACTGCATCTGTGCAGGATTTAAGTTCTCAGAGCCTCAATTTCTTCACCTATGAAATTAGCAAACTAGCTGCTCTCTTACAGCAGAAATGCCTTTTCAAAGTCTGGTTTACTACCTGGCCAAAAATGTGAGAAATCTGAAAGAAATATGGGAAATGACTAGTTTTATTTGCCTTTTGGCACTTTTTAAAAGTTCTCCATATCTTCTGATGTGCAAACATTTAGTTGGGAGGAAGTTAGTCCCTACTGGGATGTGTACTAATGGTTCTTTCTAATAATTTGATGACTTTAGGTAAACAGCTGTAAGCCCAGATGTGACGTGAAAGAATCATTCACTGTAATTAGATTGGGTGGTTTGTCTGTAGAGCTGGCCATGTGGTGTACAGAGTTATTCCATGGTGTGGAATAATTTAGTATGCTGATGTACACATTTCACTACTAAATAGACTCCAGCTCTCTGAGGGCAGAAAACACTCAAGCCATTTTCTCCCAACACAGTAGCAGACTGACACACCCAGAGAAGCTTATTTAAGCCTGTTGATGAATTTGGTTTTCCCTGTACTATGTTCCTTAAAGGGATTAATGTTGGATTAATGAACATATATAGGGGTATAATTAAATCTTATCTTCCAGTATTAAAGTCCACAATCCCCCATGTGCAGATGTATTCATTTTTCATATTTACAGATGCTGAGAAACCTCTGTCTAAAGATCCAGGTCAGTCATGCTTTTTGTTGGTGGGAGTTAAATATCAGCTGCCCTTGACCTTGTCCTTGAGCTGTTTGTTCCCCTCTGAGCTCACTCCTTTTTTAAACTGCAGGAATCTTCACATTCACACTGTTGGAATGCCATTTAGAGAGTCTGGTTGGAATTACTTTTGATTTTTCACATGTGATATGGTGTGCATACGTGTGTGCGTGTGTACATCTATATTTTTATATTTTTGCATGTCTTTTTTAACTTTTACAAAATCTTTATTGAGAATTTCATACATGCATATAAGGTGTTTTGATGAAATCCACATCCACTCCCTCCCCTCCAAACCCTCCCACATCTCCCCATCACTCCTTCCTGACAACTTTGTGTACTGTTTCTTTTTTTAAAAAAAACTTACTTATTATTTTTATTTTATGTGTATGCGTGTATTGCCTGCATGTAGGTAAGTGCACCTGTGTGGTGCAATGCCTGCGGAGGACCAAAGAGGCTGTCGGATCCCCTGGACTGGAGTTACGGACAGTTGTTAGCTGCCATGTGGGTGCTGGGATTCGAACCCGGGTCTTCCGCAAGAACAACTAGTGTTCTTAACCGCTGAGCCATCTCTCCAGCCCCCTCTTTTTTTTTAGTGGGGCTTTTTGCTACTCTAATATTCCCCCCCTCTGAAAAGGTAACACTAAAATCTTTTAGGGATTACATAAGTGCTCCCAAATACTTTCGATGTTTTTGGCCTTTGGAACAGAGTATGTTGCTAACAGGCCCAAGGACATTTTGACTTTTAGCCAAGAAATGGCTACTTTTCTTTGGGGTCTTTTTATCCTAACTGCCTAGCCAATTCCTACCTCTTATTCTTATCACACAATTCTCTGAAGAGGTTACCCAAATTGCCGATGAGAGTCCAGCCTTGGCAGATAAAAGAAAAATGAAGAGGAACTCAATAGAGGGATGCTTTTGGAAGCTCTGGTCAAGAAATTACGATGTACTATGATATGAACTTTTGAAATTTGCCCTATTCTGACCTTTTTCTGGTTCCCTGTCTAGAACTTGTAATGCTAAGTACTCTTGCCTTTACTTCTCCTTCACATCCCCTGTTTATCAGTCAAGGACTTTCTTTTCTCCCTGTAGATAAGAGTTATGCAATTTGAGAGTCTTTTAGATAGACCCACTGAAGGGGTACTCCAGTTGCCTCACCCTGCGTCCCTGTTCAGCATGGAAGAAGCCAGAGCGGTCTGCATCCCGATTTCTGCATGTCTTTTATAAATCATTCACATATTCCCTGGCAAAAAGGCTGCGTATTTGATCACCCTTACTACCACTTTCCTGACCATCATAGCACCAAAGGAAAGGGAGCAGGAGGACAAGGCACCGTGTCTTAGGGCTCTTTGCATGTGCTCTTCCCTCTGGCCCAAAGGACGTTTCCCCACCTCTTCTACTGACTAGCTCCTTCTCATGTCTTTAAGAGCTATCTCCCAGAATCCTCCTCTCTATCATTATCTTCATAACTTCCTGTCCTTTCCCTTTGATAGATTTATCACAGTGTGGAATAATACATCGTGCTAATATATAATTTCACTAGTAAATAGACTCAGTCTTCCTGAGGGAAGAAACCAAATATCCTTGGTTTGTGGCTGTACCATCAGTGACTGACATAGGAGACAATAGATGAATGCTGTTAAAATGAAATTTGCTGCAGCCCCCACAATATGCAATTTAGGAACTCATAAGAAATGTGATGAACAAGGCCCAAGGCCCCATCCCAGCCCTCCTCTGATACTGGTACTGCTAGACTCCAGGTCAGAGTATGGGGGGAGGGGACTCACATACCACCTCTCTGTCTGCAGGGTACTGGCCAGAGCTTCGGCTGGTGGGCGGCTCCAGTCGGTGCTCAGGACGAGTGGAAGTCCTCCATCAGGGGGTCTGGGGTACTGTGTGTGATGACCTGTGGGGCCCCAACGAAGCTGAGGTCGTGTGCCGCCAGCTGGAATGTGGTCAGGCTATTTCTAGTCCTGGTGAGGCCTACTTTGGCCCAGGTTCAGGAGACATTTTCCTGGACAACCTGCAGTGCTCTGGGGTAGAGCAATACCTTGGCCAGTGTCCCCATTCAGGATGGTCAGAGCACAACTGTGGCCACCACGAGGATGCTGGTGTCATCTGCTCAGGTAAATTTTTTTTTTTTTTTTTTTTTTTTTTTTTTTTTTTTTTGGCAGGGGGGTCCTGGAACTCACTATATAGACCAGGCTGGCCTTGAACTCACAGAGAGCCGCCTGCCTCTGCCTCCTGAACGCTGGGATTAAAGGCATGCATTAAATGTAGTCAAAGAAATTTTTGGAACTATCTTTTATGGGTGGAGTTTTCCATCCATCCATCTTCTCATTCCTCAAGTGACCCTTCAGCACTAGATCTGGGACTCTTACAGCTTCGGATACCCAGGGGTACCAGCACCACCTGGGGCATTGCAATGCAGATTCCAGGGCTCCTCTCCCAAGAAACTATAACTAAGTATGTTTGGAAAGAAGCTTAGGACTCTGCGCTTTAACAAGTCACCTAGGAATTCAGTATAAGATTTGCTGAAAATAACCCAGCCCCGCCCACCACAGGACAGGGCTGATCCAGCTGCTGAGCTTAAGTTTCCTAAGCCAGGACTCTCTTAGAAGAAGGCTGAAGGTGCTTGCAGGGCAGGTCTAGTCCTCTGTTTCTTATGCCCAGGAAGGTCATGATCCTTTCCCCTTTATTCCTCACCCACTCCTCGTCACCTCACCTCTTCTGTCCTTTGGACTAATTAAAGAATGACACTTTGCCTTTCTTTGTGCATGCAGACTCAGAAGACCCATCTCCACACATACCTCCAGGTGAGTCTGTTGTTTTCCTAGTCCAAGAAGCTTCCCATTCAGGACTAACAGCAATGATAATAATACCAAATACTTATAAAAATGCTGAAAACTAGGCATTGTTCTGAGCTCTTCACAAGCACACACACACACACACACACACACACACACACACACACACACACTACTAAACTCATGATGGGGTTATATCATAGTAAACGCACTGTAAAAATACAGCTTACTGAATTTCATAGCATATTAACAGGACTCTTAGAGTAGCTGCTCTCTAGCCTCACAATTTTGTGCTTGCCCAGGAGCACACCGTTGCTGCCCAGCATCTCAAGTGAGGATCATACCACATATGTGACCCCAGGAAAAATCTTAGTTTAAAATTTGAAGTATAGTTTCTCTTTCATGAATATTGCTTTGAGAAAAATCCTAAGTCAGGTTCTTATTTGTCAAGAACTCTGTTACTCGGCCCCCTTTAAGAAGACAATTTGATTATTTACATTTTCCAGATAAATAGAAACATAGAAAGTTAGCAAGGAGCCCAGGCCTACCGAGGGGATTTGAAATCAGACTGCAATGAACTTGGCCTCTAGACTCATTTTCCAAACCCACACTGGCCCAGGAGATACAGGCAAAGCTATGGCAAAGACAGGGCCATTGTGCTCACATTATTGCCAATCACCAAGACAATTCAAAAAAGCACATGCTAGGTTTTCAGAGGAAGCGTTTAACACACAGAAAGGTTAAGCAGTTTTGATCATTGATCAAGTTAATGGTGGAACCAAGCTTTGACATTCGTCATTCTGAACTCAAAGTTCAAGCTCGGTGCTCTTGTACTTCCTGTTTTTGAAGATACTATATTTAACAGTTTAATTATATATATTATGCAAATATATATCAGAGATTAGAAAACACAGTGCAATGCATGTAGAATAAACTCTGAAGTGGCACTGGAGGGGAATGAAAAGACGTTTCCTTTCATTGCAACCTATGCCAAGAACATCAGCAGACATGATGCAAAGCGCTCTGGATGCATTAGTTTATTTAATCCTCATGGTTGAAGTTCGGGGAGATCAAAAGCCTGGCCATGTAACTCCATCAGGGCACGTCTTAGAAGATGGGCCCTTTTCCTTTCCAGATGGCCTCTTCATACTGTTCTCCAACACGGTGGTGAGACTTCTTTTGAAAGTTAGAATGAGGCAGAACCAGAACTTAGTAGCTTTCACTTGTCCTTTGAATGTACCTGGCTTGTCCCATCCAGCCTCAGGGAATATGTAATAGTCACAAGTCACTGGAAGAAGTGACTCTCTTGGCATTTGCCTGGAAGAGATTTTGATAAGTGCTGCATGTCCTGGGGCAAGGCCAGCTTTGTGTATCAGGGTCATGAAGGTGAGGAGAAGGGCCGTCCAAGTTCAAAGGCCGTGGTTAAGGTCAAGAATGTGGATAATCACATGAAGGCTTATCTATAGTTTTCTCATTTCATACAAATTGTATGGATGATGAAGAGATGAGGAAACAATGCATGGAGCCATCCTTTATGAAGGCTTATCTATAGTTTTCTCATTTCATACAAATTGTATGGATGATGAGATGAGGAAACAATGCATGGAGCCGTCCTGGTTAGAACGACTATCATTTACATACATGCCATGGCTTTGTGGGTCAGGAATTTGGACAGGGCTCAGCTGGGAGATGCTTCTGCTCCTCAGAGCATCAAGCTAGAGTAGCTCAATGGTATTTCTTTAGGGACTGATTTGGAGAGCTTAAGACAGCCTCACTTACATGTTCGGTGCCGTGGTGGGGCAGCTGGGAGGATGAGACCTCTTCTTTTCCAGGAAGGTCTCAGGGACTCTTCATATAACAGGTAAGATGGTGGAGGGCTGTATGAGTGATCCATTATGCTGAGAGACAGGAAATACAAGTCATCCTTAAGATGCAGCACAGCCTCTGCCATATGCCATTGTTCAAAGTAGTCACAGAGCCCCCTGTGTTCAAGGGAAGAAGGCATGTCCAAGTATTACAGGCTGGCTTTGGTCTACCACCGGACCATAAAGAATGTCCACTCAGCAGCATCAGACTCATCTCAGTTTGTGCCAAATATATTGAAGTTTCCGAGGAAACCCTTCAGAGTTCACTAGCTTATAGACGAGACTAAAGATTTTCCCCTGGATATCATTAGCATTTCCTTTTTCCCTTCCAGGTCCTTCTCCAGCTTCTCAGGATCAAATAACAGGTAGTCACTTGTCACTTTTAAATTTGAAATGATGACTCCATGTCAGCAGGTTCCAGGCAGTGTGTCTGGGATGCATCACAAAAGAGGTTCTGATGTGCGTGTATGTAGCGCTTGCTCCTCTGTCCCACATTGTAAATGTTTAATGCTTAACAGGAGAAGCAGGCAGGGCAGAGGAGATGTACGCAAGAGGATGACAAAATGGTGGAATGTACTTCTGTGGTCCATCTAACCCATACACAGCTTGACTTCATTTTTTAAAGCAATTATGTTATAAGTGTACCACTTGCATTCTATGTAAGTGCACCCATGTTGTGCAGTGCCTGAGGAGGTCAAAAGAGGGTATTGGATCCCCTTGAACTGGAGTTAGGACAGTTGTTAGCCACCATGTGGGTGCTGGGAACTGAACCTGGGTCCTCTGCAAAAGCAGCCAGTGCTCTTAACCACTGAGCCATCTCTCTAGCCCCATCAGCTTGACTACTTTAGACCCAGCCCAGTGAACAGTCACAGTCACCTGCTCTTCGTCTCTTGCTACACATATGGAGAGATACAGGAAGTTCATTTCACAAGGGCTCAGTTCCAGTATGATTTGGTCCTGTTATTGTAACCTATAAATGTGCTCAGTAGAGTGGGGTGGCACACGCTTATAATCCTAGTACTTGAGAAGTATAGGCAGGAGGATTGTGAGTTCAAGGCCAGCCTGGGCTACATAGTGAGACTCTGTCTCAAAAAAAGGGGGGGGGGGATTTGGTTCTGTGGTAGAGAGCACTTGTGAAAGGCTCTGGGTTTGATTCCAGCTTCCTACTCTTCCCCAAAGTATGATTGGTGATAGAACTGTGGGGTGCCAGAAACGCCTTGCACCCCATTTCAGGAGAGACTAGGAATATGTGCATTCTGGGAGGATTGCAAGTAAGTCATAGTGACAGAGAAGAAAAATAAAGCAACTTTATTTTTATAAGGCGCAGGATCAATAAAGTCTATTGTGCTTTCAAATTCCTCCAAAATAACTTGGTAATTGTGTTTTCTGCTTCTTCATTTAGCACACTGCCTTAAATAGACATGAGTGTATCTACTTACATTAAAATGACAACTAATATGAAAGAGCTAATTACTGACCTCTTGTTTAACCCTGAAAAATCCCCAAGTCTGCAAGTTCCAGGCAGAATATTCTGAGTTAAAGGAAGCACAATCTGCTCAGCAAGGCAGTGAAAAAGTTCTTAGAGGAGGAGTCATAACCTCCCCAAACAGTCCCCAGTGTCCCTTCCCCTTCCTGACACAGCAGGCTTCAAAGTTATTTGATAGCTTCTTGTTCCCCAAACCTCCTCAAACCTCCTCAAAACTTCCATTTCACAGGAAAGACAACCTGTCTCTTGGTCCCTCCTTCCCAACCTCTCATGAAAATGCCATGTTTCTCCTAGAAAGAAAAAAACCCACCTTTCCACTTTAAAAGAATGCAATAAACAGTGAGGACAAATGTAACCATTTTTTAGCAGGAGACAGGAGCAGAAAGAAAGATGGCGATTCTCACACCATGATGTCTTTTCCCCACCAGAATTAGATCAAATGGCTTCCCAAGAGAGGTTAAATGGAAGATGAGCTCAAGATAGTTGCGCATGCCCACCCAGGCCAGCTGCCACCTGACTGCCCTTGACTACTGGCTGAGTGGGTCACTCCTAGGATCATACAGTGGTGCCACATGGTTGTGACCTGACATCATTTTTCCTTTTGTTTCAGGAGAAAGTAACTCTTGCGGAGGGGTCATTTCCAGTCTCTCTGGATCATTTTCTAGTCCACAATATCCAGAAAACTATCCAACAGATATCCAATGTGTTTGGGAGATCCACGTGGATAAAAAGTCCCGCATCGAACTCATGATTCCAAACTTGAAGTAAGAAGTCATTTTAAAAGAGAAGGGTCTGTCTGAGTATGTATATTGGTTTGTGAAACTGTGATAAGTTCATTTCCTACAGTGGGAAGCATGCAGGGATGGAAACTGGGGAACACAAAACTCTACAGTGTTTTTAAGTCTAAGTTTGGGCTAATTTTGTAGTGATATTCAGTGGGTCACTTCTAGCTGTAAAAACAAAGTAAGGGGCCTGGAGAGATGGCTCAGTGGTTAAGAGCACTGACTGCTCTTGCAGAGGACCCATGTTTGATTCCCAGACTCCACATGGTGACTACAAACTGTCCTTAACTCCAGTTCCAGGGAATCTGATGCCCTTTTCTGACCTCCACAGCATTGCATAGCACAGCTATACATGCAAGTAATACACTCATACACACAAAATAAAAATAATTACTAAAATAAAAATAATAAATTATATATATAAACAAAGTATGCCATTACTAAAATAAAAATAATAAATTATATATGTATAAACAAAGTATGCCATTACGTATTTGACATAGCCCTACTTTGACAGTTGTCTTTTGATTTTTTTAAATAAAAATATCACAAAAAATGCCTAACACCTTTGACCTTGTAGCATATTAGGTACCAATATTTGCCCTTTTAAGCTTGCTTTTATACTCATCTGTATTTTATACAAACATTAAGAGACTTTCCTTATATACACGTTAGTCAACTATACCAGCCTTGGGTTGTGCATTTTCTAAGTGCTTCCCAAGCAGAAAAAGGTAAAAACAGCCACTGCCATACCTCTGATACGAAGAGAACAGATGTTCCAAAGTCACTGCCACCTGCTCATCTCCATGACCTAAAATAATAGCTGACATTGCTGATTTCATGTCTAGATTCTGAGCTATAGTCTCTCTCTCTCTCTTTCTGGGGTCATATATATGTTTGCAGGTTCCATCAACAGTGTTTTTTAAGACAGAGTCTCTCAATAACCTAGAGCTTGCCAAGTAAACTATACTGGCTGTTCAGTGATCCTCAAGATCCGGTTGTCTAGTTCTCCCCAGTGCTGGGATTATAAGTGTGTGCCATCATTCTTTGCTTTTTTATGTAGGTTCTGGAGATTGAACTCAGGTCCTCATATTACAAGACAAGCACTTTACTAACTGAGATTCTATCTCCACAGCCCCTGGACTATATTCTTTTAGGCTTTGTCATACTCTAGTGTTATTACAGCTTAAACATAGTCTTTGTCATCCGCATTAGAGAGGAGAAAAATGAGATCATAGAGAAAAAGAAATTTGCCAAGGACAACCAGTGCAGGTCTGTCTGATGGCAAAGCCCCGGCTTTTCACCAATATGTGGTTCTATGAGCAGAATCACACAAGGTTCTTCTTCTTGTACATAGCTTACCATGTTGCAATGAGAAAGACCATGGAATTCTATAATAAACCAGCCTCAACCAGCACTGAATTACTGCTCAGTCATGACTGTGCCAAATCCATCAGTTCAGACTTGCTTTAAACCCAAACAATAACAACAAAAGTCCTAAACTATGTTATTTTAGTCATTGGCCAAAACCATTACGAGTTTAAAACTTATTGTAAAGTTGTAGCAATAAGCTTAATGTATTCCCTAGACAAAGAAAGTAGAGTTCTGGTAAAGCATTTGGAAAAGCTTAAGGAAATTTCAAGCTCTATAACTGTCACATTTTGGGACATTGATTTTGATGGTTTTTTTCCTCCTGTCACTAACCCCCTGGATTTGGTTCCCCTAGCCTGGAAGATATCCTTGGATGTCCCTATGACTCAGTTGAGATCTTTGATGGCCCCAGAATCGCATCGCTCTCTATGGGAAAGTTCTGTGCCCCATCAGCTATCGTGTTTTTCTCCTCCTCCGACATCTTGACAGTGGTGTTCCACAGTGATTATATGATAACCAACACTGGCTTTTATGCTTTGTTCAATGCAATTCCACAGGATGGAAGGGAATCAGGTATACAAAAGAGAATAATTCTAGAACATTTTGCTTACTATTTTTATTTATTTTATGTGTATGAGTGGATTGCTTGCATGTGTGTAAATGCAACGCCCACAGAGGTCATAAGAGGGTGTTGGAGTCTCTGGAACTGGAGTTATGCATGGTTGTTAGCTACCATGTGAGTTCTGGGACCCGGACCTGGGTCCTCTGCAAGATCAGCCAGTACTTTTAACCACTGAGCCATTTCTCCAGCCCTGAAAATAATTTCTAACTTGACTCTGCTGTTTGCAGAGGCCTGTTTCAGTTTAAAAGAATCCCCACACACTTAGCTCTACCAACCCTGCTCAGAAGTTGCTAGATTTTGACAGTAAGGTAGTGATGTGTATCCTGTAAAGAGGTATTGCAAAGGATAGCTATAAAAGGCCAGGCTGCTATGGTGCAAGAAAGCTGTGCTCTGTGAAGGGTCTTCAGGTTGTGTGTATCTTCTATCACCAGCACTGTGGGAACTGTCTGGAGTGCTGAAATGTGGAAGCCCAGCTCTCCTGAAGATTCCATTTCCCACTCCTTGCTGGCCCGATTCATATCTTGCATACACTAAACCATAGATATCCCAATGAGAGATTTGGAGGCTCCTGTTATCCCTGGACTTATAGGAAGCCATTGCAGAGCCCAGTCCCATTTCCACTGTTCAAGGAACACTGCCTGACAATTGTGGTACTTCTGATGGAACCCTAGTAATTTTTTGAGGCTGCCAGAAAACCAGGTGGTAAGCACCTGTCTGAAATTTAGGGAATTCCTTGCATAGGGCCCTTAAAGGTATGTTGGAGACCCTGCACTGAGGAAGCTAAGTAGGCTCCAACATCTGATAGACAGACCACTCACTGGCTCAGGATCACCATTCAGTCAGTAATGGTTACAAGGGTCCTACTGTGTTACTGCCAGGCCTAGTTAAAGGTATGAACAGACAGAGTCAAAGCTTAGCCCCCCACTCTGTATTCTAGTGTGGATGTGGGTATTAAGACACAGAGACACATAAATAAACAAGCTGCTTTAGGGGTGAGGATGATAAAGTGTAAAGATAATGCTGGAGATAAAAGGCAGACACAGTAGAGCATGTCTTGATAGAAGAGGGGTGCCACGTGCTGGATGGGAATGGATGGCCTCTCTGAGGAGGTGACATGTGCTGAGTGACAATGTAGGGGCAGGCTGGGAAAAGAGAAGATCAAATGCAAAGGCCTTCGGGGGAAAGAGCTGGACACACTGAAACCACAAAGGCCATCCAGGCAGAGCCGGTGGCAACTGTCAGGGCAATCTCAGCTAGCTTCAGCCGTTTGATCCAAAAATAGCCGTTGGCAATGGGCTCTATAAGGTCACAGTCACCTTACAGTGGTTCCGTGCTTCTCAGGGGATTAAATCTACACTCGTCCAAGGTACTCCCATAGCAAGTAGCTGGGAACCTGCTTTTGCAATAACTGGTGAAGCTTGTGGCAGGATCTGCAGCAGCCACAACTTGCTTGGTGCTGAGCTGCGTGTCTTATATGTGCATTCTCACTGACTCATCTCTGAGGCCCCTTTGAGATAAACACCTACTGGAGTCCTCACTTTTCAGATGAGGAAACAGAGGCTCAGAGAGATAAATTGTCAAGCAGGGAGGGGAGCAGTAGAACAGGATTCAACCCATTTCGGTCTTACTCTGTCACCCTTAGGCTTAGTGTGGAATCAAACCAGCCTTAAGAGTTTGCTCTTGGCCTTGCCTTGGCCATGGCACAGAAGCTGGGAGTCACTTCCGACAGAAATTCCCATGCTAAGAAATGAAATCCTTCTCTGTTTAGAAGACACGCCAAAGCTGAGGCTGGAGGGAGGCTCAGGCCGATGCTCAGGCCGTGTGGAGGTCCTTCACCAGGGGGCCTGGGGCACTGTGTGTGATGACCTGTGGGACCTGAATGAAGCCGAGGTCGTGTGCAGACAGCTGGGGTGTGGACATGCTGTTGCCGCTCCTGGAAGTGCCTACTTTGGTCAAGGCTCTGGTAACATCCTCTTGGACAACATTCAGTGTTCAGGAAGTGAGAACCACTTTGGCCAGTGCCCAAGCTCTGCCTGGCTGGACCACAACTGCGGCCACCACGAGGATGCGGGTGTTATCTGCTCAGGTATCCTCTCTTCCATAATAGGTTGTTTCTGTGAGATATCTTAGTGATAGGTGGAGAACATGTACAGAGCAAGGCTGGGGTTTCTCAGGACAGTGGCCATATAATCCACCCTGGCAGGGAATGAAGCAGCCGGTCACATCGCATCTATAGCCAGGAAGCACAGAGAGCTGAATACCGGTGCTTAGCTTACTTCTTTTTTTCACCCTGGGCTCCTGGTCCATGGAATACATGCACATTTAGGGTGGATATCTCCACCTCAGTTAACCTCATCTAAAAAGTCCCTCACAGACATGCCCAGAGGTTTGTGCCCTAGCTGATTCTAGATCCTGTCAAGTTGATAATCTGTATTAACCATCACAGTGGCCAATAGATGAGCATTCGTTCAGCCAGGTAGACTCTGTCTCTGAATACTGAGTCTGATTATTCTGAAGATGGATGCCCCAGGGATACTCCATTGGTTTGTCCTGGTCTCTGCACCATCCTGGGTGTGAAGATGCTTTCCCAGAGAGAAATGTAACTTTACACCTGCTTGTGTACCATGAAGCCATCCTGCTTGAGACATGCTCACCCTAGAACAACACCATTTTTTGTCTTCATGGAATTTAATTTAGATTCCTTAAACTTGCTCATTCTCTGTCCATGCAGATGCAGAGGTGACTCCTGCACCCCCAGGTAGGTTCAACACTGTAAATTTCCATCTCTGCAAAGGTGAAGATTTGCATCCTGATCTAGATGCTGGTGGACAATGACCAGACTGGTGATTTACAATTCTGGATGCATACTAGGGTCACTTAGGGAGCTTCTAAAATTCCCAGTACCTCATCTGTCCCCAAGAAGAGTCACTGGGTCCCTGGGGTCCCTGAGGTCACTCCCAGTCATCAGTAATATTTCACTCTCCCATGTAATTCCAATGCACATCTGAAGTTTTGAAAGTACTGGCTTTTTTTTATATTCTAGGATTAATCTGCTGCCTGATGTGTAGTTGACAGGGAAAGACAGAGAGAAAAAGAGTGAGCAAGAGAGAGTGAGAGTGAGTGAGAGAGAGAGAGAGAGGAAGCAGTGTATTTATATGTTATGTTTGTAGGTCACAGAACTAGAAAAGGAATCATTAGAGGAATCTTTTAAATTAATTTACTTATTTATCACATGTGTAAGTGTGTTGCCTGCATGTATGTAAAAGACACCTGTGTGTGCAATGCCTGTAGAGTTTAGAAGAGGGTGTCAGATCCCCTGGAACTGGAGTTACAGATGGTTGTTAGTCTCCATGTGGGTGCTGGGAACCAAACCTAGGTCCCCTGAAAGAGCAGCCTGTGCTCCTAGCCTCTGAGCCATCTCTCCAGCCTCTAGGATGAGTTCTTAAGGGAGATGGGAAGTAGAGAGGGTAGTGGGATACATGTAATAGGAAAGCAGAAGTGGGAATTAACTGGGGAAGAAGGGGAACCAGAGGAAGGGGGATGGCGAAGGGTGATGGGGGGCGGATAATTATGCGTATGTGTGAAGGTGCCATGACTCCAAATCATAATAATAATAATAAATCCATGGCTCATACAAGAACAGTTACATTTCCCAAATGGAATTAGGTCCCAAACTATTCCTTCTAGTGAGAGAGCAAGGAAGGGCAGGAGAGGAAAGGAGATGAAGTGTTCAAAGATTCAGTCACTTTGGCTGAGGAAAGGATTGGCATGGCGAGGAGGGAAAAGGTGGGCTGTGTGGGATCTCTGTTCTCGTTTTCTGTGGTTTGATGTTTGCAGCTGCCACTTCTAAAGTCCATGTACCACATGGTAAGTAATGTCATAAAAGTGTGACCTGTAACATACAAACGGGTGAAATGTTGATAACTCATAAATGCAGAAAGGACTTCTTTCTGTCGTTTGATATGAGGGGAAGGAATTGGTAGGACAAAGCCCTCACAGATAGGTAGGTTACACACTTGACTTGAGCTGGCTTTCATGACAGAAATCTGGGGAGACCATTAAAGAACTGTAGTCTAGGACACTGGGGAGATAACTCAGTTGATAAAGTGTTTGCCTTTCGAATACAAGGATCTAAGCTTTATCCACAGAATCCACATTGCAAAACTGAGCATAGTGGTGCACACCTGTAATCTGAGCACTGGGGAGCTGGAGACAGATGGATCCCTGTGACTCACTGGCCAGTCAGCCTAGCCTAATTGGCCAGTTCCGGTCTGATAAGAGACTCTGTCTCTGGGCGCTGGAGAGATGGCTCAGCAGTTTAGAGCACCGACTGCTTTTGTGGGTTCAATTCCCAGCACTCACATGTCAGCTAACAACCACCTATAGCTCCAGTTCCAATGCCCTCTTCTAAACTCTGTGGGTATTGCACGAGGTGGGTGCATTTGCACACCTGCAGGTAATACACTCATACACATAACATAAAAATAATAAAATTTTTGAAAGAAGAGAACTTGTCTCAAAAAACACAGTGAACTGCACCTGAGAAACACCACCTGAGGTTTGGCCTCCACATGTACATGCAAGCATGTGTGCATGTGCTTGTGCATGTGCACACACACACACGCATGTCCTACCACAGGCCCTGCCACACATGCACTGGATTCAGTTTCAGCCAGTTTCGGGGTTCCCCTACCAGTCCTATATTTTGCCCTCCTTCTCAAAGCTACCCTAGCTTATACCAGCCAAGCTGGCAGATCCCTTTCCATTTTGCGATCCCACTGTTGAATCTGAGGGAATTCTGGATTCTGTACCTGGGACAATGCCACATGCCTGAAGACGCCAACCACCGGTGTCTTGTCTGTTCTCACAGAAGGAAACAGCTCTTGTGGAGGAGTAATTTCAAGTCTCTCTGGCTCCTTCTCCAGTCCATGGTATCCTACAAACTACCCCACTGACATGGAGTGCGTCTGGGAGATACGTGTTGCGGACAAGTTCAACATAGAGCTGACGATTCCAAGCCTGAAGTAAGCAGTTTTGCCTTTCTCTTCCTTAACTGCCAGGCTAGATTTGTGTCAGCTTTCCTGAAAGGAATGCCTTTCCATGGGGCAAATCCTTTCACATTTTAGCTGGGAATCGATCTGGTCGTCTCTGGGGTTTTGCTTTAGTTCTTTGAGAACTTCTTACAATGTATTTTGCTCATGTTCACCCTCCTCCAATTCCTCCAGGCCCATCCCCCTCTTCCCTACCTACTCGTTTGTGCCCAATTTATGTTGCCCATATACTCATCCACGGGAACATGGGCAACCTTCCAGGGGCCACACTCTCACAGCAGCTATCAATTGCCAGTAGCTCTTCAGCTAGGGGTGGGACATCATGTTCATGTCTCCTTTCTATGCTGGATTTTGTCTGGCTTGAACTTGTGCAGGTCCTGTGTGTGCTATCATAACCACTGTGAGCTCATATGTGCACCTATCCTGTTGTGTATGGAAACACTGTTTCTTTATAGTCATTCACCACCCCTGGCTCTTACACTCTTTCCACCCCTCCTTCCACAGTGATCATTATGCCTTGGGAAGAGAGGGGGTGACTTAAGTGTCCCATCAAGGACTGGGAATTAACCCCCTTATGGTCTCTTATGCTCTAAACCTTGTACCCCTGGCTCTTACACTCTTTCCACCCCTCCTTCCACAGTGATCATTATGACTTGGGAAGAGAGGGGGTGACTTAAGTGTCCCATCGAGGACTGGGAATTAACCCCCTTATGGTCTCTTATGCTCTAAACCTTGACCAGCTGTGGGTCTCTGTGCTAATCACTGTCTGTTGCCAAAAGAAGCTTCTCTGATGGGGGCTGAGAGATACCCTAATCTATGAGCATGTTGATAAATCATTAAGAATAGACAACACTAATTTCTCCTGTGTGCTATGACTTGCATAGGCACAGGTTCTTGGCCCCAATAATAGCACCAGATATGAGTTTCATCTTGTAGAGCAGGCCTTAAATCCAGTCAGAAAGTGGTTGGTTACTGCCATGACATTTGTGCTAATATCACACCAGTGAGTTGCCAGGCCAGTCATTACTGAAGTTCTCTGGATTCAAGGCTGGTTAAGAGATCATTACTTTTCCCTTGCAGTAGTGTATGTAGCACCTTCCAGTATCATGAAAGGCAGGCAGTAGGGGTGAAGCTTCCAGGTCAGTTTTGGTGATCTTTGTTGTGGGTTTCCTTGTCAGTTACCTCAGCTTCTTATCCAATGAGATCATACCCCACATGCATCTGTACATCAAGACACAGAGCTCCAGCTAGGTGGCCCAACCTGAAGGCATCACCCCTGCACCTCCAGTCGGCTCCCTCAGAGAGCTTCCTCCTGCAGGATTCAGATCTGGTTTCCCTGTTCTCACTGTCTGTTCATCCTTTTCTCAGATGCTACACAAAGCAAATCTGGTTCTTCTTCCCTTCGAAAAATCTCTGTCATGTTCCTATCAGGAATTTTCTTTGACAAATTTAAGGGGTTCATTCATTCTTCCCATCAAACAGGTGTCTGTACCTCTTCTTCCTCCAACCGTCCCTTGAAAGCGCTTAGTTGTATTTTAGAGTACATTTACGTGGATGTATGCAGTTGTCCCTTGGTTTTCACAGATTGGTTCCAAGATCCCCTTCCTCTACCACTTACGTTCAGATTCCTTATATAAAGTGTCATAGTGTTTGCATCCAACCCTTGCACAGCTCTCTGTGTACTCTAGATCATCTCAGATTTCTTGTAACACCTAATATACTATGATACGACTTGTTGCTATACTGTGTTCTTTAGGGCATGGTGACATGTATGCGTGTTGAATACAACACTTGGTTGAATCATCAAATGCAGAACAACTACATGAGCACGTACGAATTCACATACATGGGGCTTTCTAATAGAAAGCGTGGTTTCTTCTTTTTCTCCTGTCACATCTGGGTCATTCTTTCTTCCTGACTCTGTCCCGCATCTGTTCCGACTCTGCACTGTCTTCCATCTTCGCTCATTGGTCATAACAGACAAGGATCTAAGCACCGCCCTTGTAAGTGTGAAAGAGGTAGGCAGTGAAGTGCCCAAGTTGCTCTGGATAGAGAAGACGTACAGCACTATACAGGGGCATTGTGTGCTACGAGAAAAATATACTTACCATTCACGCATTCAGTGCACATTTACTTTTGAAAACAACGTGAGGCTGATCACTGTTGGGTGAGGAAGAGCTGATCTTCTTAGAGGGAGAGACCCTAGACAGGCTGACTAGACCTCAGTGAATGAGCCTGCACTGAGGAATGTCTGGGGACACTAACTTGACAAGACAGGCCTTAACAAAAATGACCAAATGCATGAATTCAAGTGGGGGGGCTATGAGAGGGGGCCAATGCGGAAGGGGTATAAAGATGATTAAGAAGCTCTGTATGAAATATACAAAAGCCCAATAAAATTTTTTTAAAAAAGAAAATGTGAGGAAATTTGGTGCCATGTACTTCAAATACACAAAATCCATAGATTTAATATTTCGAGGTGTAGAACACCACTTTTTCACTTCTGGAAAGTAGTTATTCCATGCAGCTGTAATGGTTTCCACTTTCCGTGAGTCTAGAGGTTGATGTTCCAACATAAATTCCTACTGTAGTCAGAACACACAAATTATGGAGTAGTTTAACGTCTTGCCTAGAACCAGGGGAAAGTTCTTGATTTGTGGGGGTTGATAGTTTTTAAATCTAAATATGTTGCCATTTACATCTTGCTTCTCAGGATATAAATTTTATTTTTGATTACTGTGTACCCCTCAACTACATCTTGTTATACCTTACTACAAGATATTTGCCTAGGTCTGGAGTCATTTTTGATCATCATAAATGGGAGGGGCATTGCCATCTGGAAGATGGAGGTCAAGGCTTCTGCTAAGTTTCCTACAACAATCAAGATTACTCCCTGCCCCTCCCAAGAAAAGTTTTCCATCCAGTATCAGCTGCAGTGAGATTAGAAGCCCTGACTTACATTGGTGTTTGTTTTTCCTATTGCAATCCCCGCAGAACTTTACTTCATGCTTGTGTGGAAAAATACTATTCATGCATAACTATAAGGAAATAGTATTACAGGCTCCTGGGACCTTGCTTATATGAACTTATAGCAGTGTTGTCAGTGTGCCCCAGACCCATGCAAACTCAATCAGACAAAAACCCAACTAATATAGAACTTGGAAAATGGGCAGCAGGCCCCAACCTTAGCTGAAGAACTATTGGCAACTGATTACTGCTGGATGAAAGAGAGTTGATCTTCTTTAAGGAGAGACTCTAGCTAGGCTAACTAGACACCAGTGGATGAACTTGCACTGAGGGATATCTGGGCACACTAACTTGACTCGATAGGCCTTAAGATACATGTCAGAATGCATGAAATCCAGTGGGGAGGGTGCTATAGGAGGGTGTAGATGGGGGGAGGGGACATAAAGATGATTAAGATGTTTTTTGTGAAATTCAAAAAATTCAATTAAAATATATATTAAAATACAAAAACTAAAATACAAAAAAAATTCTATTCTTACGAAAGGGCTGGGGAAATAGCTTAGTAAAGCACTTGCCTGGCAAGCATGCAGACCTGAATTCAGCCCCAGAACCCAAATCAGAAGGGTATGGGAACTGCGGAGATGGCACAGTGGTTAAGAGCACTTACTACTCTTGCAGAGAACCCAGGTTCAGTACCCAATACCCACATCAGGTGGCCAATGGCCTGTAATTCCAGTTCCAGGGGATCTGACACCTCTGGCCTCTATGGGCACCTGTACACACCCAGTGCACATAAACTCATGCAGGCAGAGATACATACAGATAAATTTAAAAATAAAATTTAAAAAGATGCTGGGCATGGTGGCACACACTTGTAATCCCAGTGCTGGGAAGGCAGAGACAGGAGGATGCCTAAGGCTTTCTGGCCAGCCAGTCTAGACTAATCAGTGAGCTCCAAGCCAATGAGAGAGCTAGTCTCAAAGGAGGAGGATGGTGTTCCTGAGGATGACACTTGAGGTTGTCCTGTGGCCTTCACTCATGTGCACACTAACATGTACTCCCCATAGAAACATGTACGCACACATGCAAAAAATTATATTCCTATTAAAAACTTGCCATTTCGTTCTCGCTAAGTGTATTTTTATTTTTCTGTTGCTGTGATAAAATATCACGACCAAGGCCAACTCGTAGAAGGAAGAGTCCATTATGGCGGGGAGGCAGGAGGCGGCCAGAGCAGAAAGCTGAGCCCACACGTCTTCAAGTGGGCACAGGAAGCAGAGAGAGACAGACTGGAAGTGGGCAAGTTATATACTCTCAAAGCCCGCCCCCAGTGACGTGCTTCCTCCAGCAAGGCCACACCTCCTAAGCCTCCACAAACAGCACCAGCAAAGGGGACAGAATGTTCAAACACTTGGAGACTATATTAAAGCACCATATTAAGTATATCTTGTTTTGAGGAAATAAAATCTCAGATTAAGAAAAATGAGTAAACTGAGGCACAGTAAATGTTTTCAGTCCATTTGGCAGACAAGGATTTGTGAGTCAGGCAGCTCTAACCAGAACCAGTTCGGGAGCTGCAGCAAGGGACTGCAGAGGGAAGTCTTTCAGGGCAGACACAGGTAAAGCAGACTATCTGGTTACGATTGCAGGATTGCCTCATTTGCTGTCTTCTTGGGAAGCCCCTAGTTATGTAATTGTATTTGTTGACTCTTAAATTGTGTTTTTTTTTCAACACAAGAATGGGCTTCTCTTTTCTTTCTCTTTTTAGGCATGGAGGGAGGAAGAGTTGAACCTGGGGCCTCAAGCATGCTTTGCAAATGCTCTATCACTGACCTGATTCCTTATCCGCTAACACAGGCATTTACAAGAAATAATCCAAGTTCGGCTTTGCTCATATTTGCAAATCAAGGTCAAGGTCACTATGACCTTACCAGACTCATCCTCCTAGGGACTCTTCAGACATGGTCTCAATTTTGTTTTATTTTTAATTGAAAATTTTTATTTATTGTTATTTTAGGTGGATGAGTGTTTTGCCTGCATGTATGTAAGTGCACCTGTGTGTGATGCCCACAGAGGCCAGAAGAGGGCGTCAGATTCCCTGGAACTGGAGTTATAGACAGTGTTAGCTGCCACGTGAATGCTAAGAACTGGACCTGGGTCCTCTGTAAGAGCAGCAAGTGCTCTTAACCACTAAACCATCTCTTCAGCCCCTCAATTTTAATTTAACACCTGTTATTACCACTCTATTGCACCTTTCACACAAATTTATCACTTCTTTATAAAGATTTAAAGTGGGTTTTTAGGTATTTGATATCTACTGCACTGGAATAAATATATACTGGTAGGTTTTAAAATCTGGTATTTTGTGTACAAACTGTTCATTGGGCATACATTTATGCAATGAGAATTGATAATACAGGCATAGAAAGCTTTCGTTATTGTTTGACACAAATTCACATCTCATGTTATGTTATCATCGAATGTTTACTGTGTTAGATAAACATTGGTGTACTTTCCACATGTATTTATTGCCCCCACCCCCGTGTGGGCTCCAGTCTAGGACCAGGCTTATAATGCTGAACAGGACTGATAAGTCCTCTACTTCCCATGAGTTTACATTCCAGATGGAAAGACAAACAGTACTCACATAGACCATTAACTCAGTGGAAAACTTCAGGAGGTGATAAGTTCATAAGTGCTGTTAAGTAAAATCAGTCGACATCTGTAATAGCAGGCCGGAGTACAAAGGATAAGATGGCAGGAAGTGGAGTGGTTGGCACAGTTCTCTCATCATCTAGAGTAGAAACTTGGGCAGTGTGGGGCATTGGTGAGGTGAGTCCTCCCAATAGGTCCCTTTAGTTATATCTCCCATGTGGGATCTTCTGAAGCATTTTACTCAATGAGACTCTGTTGGAGGTCTTGCCCCACACCAGGAAGTGGCAGTATTTGAAGTGAAGAGTCAGAGACACCAAGGAGCTATTTGGGATAGAAAGGAAAGGGTGAGGGAAACTGGAAGCCAGGATTCCCAGTAGAGGCCACCACAACAGACCAGGTGAGAAGGGGCATCTGACAGAACAGGCTGGTCCCAGGAGGGGAAGGCAGGAGGGCAGATTCTAGGGGCGTTTCATGGTGAGAGAAGGCAGGGTTGACTTGTAGATTTCCTTGGGGACACTAATAATGCCTTCATCCCCTCAGACTAGAGGACATCTATGGGTGCCCTTACGACTTTGTTGAAGTGTTCGATGGACAGCAAGCTGCTTCAGTCTCCATGGGCAGAGTCTGTGCTGGGGCAGAGCTCACGTTCATCTCCTCTTCAAATTCCATGACAGTGTTTTTTAAAAGTGATGCCATGATCACCAACACGGGCTTCTATGCCCTGTACAACACTGTTCAGCAAGATGAAAGGCAGAGCGGTGGGTATTCTACACGCACCACACAGGAAGCATGTCTAACGGTATCCTGTACCATTTAGAGAGGAGGCTTTCTCAGTCTGACCTGAATGAGTCCCTCTCCACTATTGCTGTTCTGAATGATATTCACGGGGACAGTCCCAGTCCTCAACCCCGCCCTGCCACCCACCATCACCGTCTTCCACCAAAGCATCCAGAACCAGATGGCTGAGGGTATCTGCCCTACATTGTCCATGTGTGTATTGATAAGGAGTCCATCTGAGATCTTCCCTTCAGGGAAGATTATTCTGGAACAAAAATGTCACAAAGTACAACTACCAGTCTACTTGTTTCTAACTAAATTCAACACACACCATCCATAGCACGTAGGGATCTCTCAGGCTCTGCAGAAGGCTACAAGGAACATTCTGGAGCTCTCAGTGGCTTCATGTTCAGGGGAACATGTAAGTTATCCTCCATCTGGGTTACTTTGAGAGCTTAGAGACTCAGTGGGTAAAGGACCTGGGTTCAGAACTCCAGACATCACATAAAGCCACATGCAGTAGTGAGGGTCTGTAAGCCCTGCGACATGGGAGGCAGAGGTGGACGAATCCCTGGAAGTCCATAAGCCAGTGAGCCTGGTGCACACCGTAGTGAATAACAAGAGATCTGTCTCCAACAAGGTAGAAGGAGAAGACCAATACCAAAGTGTCCTCTGTCCTCCACATGTGCCCCACAGCACGTGTGCCTGTACACACACACACACACACACACGCACATGCACACACACGTACGCACATGCACATGCATGCACACGTACACACACGCACATGCACTCACACTCACACACAGTACATTCACACACACTCAAAGATTAAAAAATTAATGGGAGCTGGAAAGATTGCTCAATGGTTAAGAGCACTGGCTGCTCTTACAAAAGACCTGGGTTCAAATCCCAACACCCACAAGGTGGCTAACAAATGTCTGTAACTCCAGTTCCAGGGGATCTGACGCCCTCTTCTGTCCTCCTTGGGCACTGTATGACATGGGTGTACCTACATACATGCAAACAATACATTCATACACATAAAAAGTAAAAGAAATTAAAAAATAATTAATAGGAACAGGTATGATGACACACACCTTTAATCCTAGGCCTTGGGAGGAAGAGACAAGCAGATCTCTGTGATTTGGAGGCCAGCCTAGTCTACATAGGGGGTTCCAGCCCAGCCAGTTCTACATAATAAGACTGTCTCAAAAATAATTAATAGCCATTAACTGATCGTCAACAGTCAGGTATATTCTAAGAAATCAGGACACCGGGACACCCTTAGGGTCTAAAAGTCAACAGGGATATATGCCCAAGAGCTGGAGAAATTTTCTACCTGCAGATGATTCCAGAGTTTGAGGCCAATTCCACAGCTCAGAAGCCTCTGTTTTCCATCCCCCAGGCATGGCTCTGCGACTGGTGAATGGCAGTCACAGGTGTGAAGGCAGGGTAGAGATCTCCTACAATGGTACCTGGGGCACAGTGTGTGATGACAGCTGGGACCTCACAGATGCCAAGGTGGTATGCCAGCAGCTCGGCTGTGGCGAGGCCATGTTGGCCCCGGCTGAGAGCTACTTTGACAGAGGCACAGGTCAGATCATGTTGGATGATGTGCAGTGCATGGGGGATGAAGCCAAAGTGTGGCAATGCACACACCACGGATGGTTCTCCCACAACTGTGGGCACCATGAAGATGCCAGCGTGGTCTGCTCAGGTGAGTGGGGTGGCATGCAGCACACCTCAGAGAGAGCGTTGTCCACTCACAGCTCCTGGGAAGGGAGATGTCAACACCAGCAGGCAGGTAGCAGGGAGTTCTGGGCTTCAACTCAGGTTTTAAACCAATTTTCTCAAGAGTTAGTTTACTCTCTCTTAGATTCTTCCATCTGCAACATGCTCAAGGTTCCACCAGAAAAGTGATAATTGAATAAGTGGTTGGAATTGTCAGACAACTTATTTCTGGCATGGCATGCCTGGGAATTGGTAACAGTTCACTCTCCTAAGAATTAAAGCTAGTACTCAACAAAGGCCAAGTGCTCTTGCATGCCAAGCTATGTGCATCCAAATTCTCCTTTAATCTCCACAATCTGTAATAAACTGGAGCCTATTACTATCCATACTCAACTGCTAAGCCAGCAAAGATGTGTGTTCCCCCGCCCAGGCCCACTGATCCCTTCATCAGCCTGGATGTGTTTTGGTTCTCCTTTTCTAATGGCTCAGAACACAGTATGTTTGATCCTGAGCAAAGCACTTGATTTTTCTGGAGTTATGTGACTGCCTTATTCAATCTGTCTCTCATCCTCATACTTGAATAGGTATCAGTGGCAAGCCGAGCAGAGGACCAGCAGGTACTGTTTGTCAATACATCCAGTCAGTTGCCAGGATTTTCAATGTAGGAGTCCTACCTACCATTCAGTTCTGAGGATGGGGGACAGTCAAATTAGATACTGTTTCTAATTAACAAGATGCCCTCTAGTGTTGACAGTATGGTGGGGCCGAGTTACTCAGAGGGTGGGGAGAAAGGTAGGAGAGAGGGAGGGAGGGTTCAGAGTCACCAGAGATGCAGTCTCTTGGCTACTGGGTCATCGTGCTTCAGCATCTACAGCAGACAGTAGGCCAAGTGCTGCCAGTGATGATCACACTGTGAGATGCTGGAGGGAGCGAGGAACCTGAGGTCTCAGGGTCATTCCAAGCTCTTGAGGAGCCAGGATCGTGTCTTCTTATTGGGCACATAGAAGGGTCAATAGTCTTCAGTATTTTTTAAATTAAATGTAGATATGAGTTCTTGCTCATGACATTTTTTCTGTGCATTTTCACAGGCTCCGCTGGTGACGCCCTTACAGGTAGGCTCCGCAGTTTCACGCAAGTTCTCCTTGTGCTGTTGGATATGCTTTGCTTTCCGTCTTAGCTCTCCTGTATCTAGATGGATGTCCTCTATCCATTTAATCTACAAGAAGCCACTCCCACACTAAATCCAAGAGTTCAGTCCTAATTGGAGACTTCAATTAGTCTTGGCCTTGTTTTCAGTGACAACTTGTATGTAGTATTAAAAGATAAGCTTTGTCAGATTAAAATTTTAAAGGATTTATTTTGAGCACATAGCAAATTTGAATTGAGCAGCTGCAGGCTGGAGGGACAGGCTTTGCTAGGGCTCACTTTGAGGCAAGGCAAGGAAAATATGTGACTGAGGAAACTGGAACAGTGTCTTCCTTCAGATCACTTTAGTGGGGAAGTCCCTAGTGAGAGGTTTGGCAGCTTCTGACTGGTTGTGAAAATTTGTACTAAGTTGGCTTTTGGTTTGCTTATGTAGGACTCAAGGCACTGGATCAGGTTAAGAGCTTCCCAGTTAATTATTTTAATAAAGTCAAATCAGGCTCATCTAATATGAGCTGTTGTAGCACAGTATGCTGAGAAAGGATACTTTGATTTGCAATGTCTTTGCATCTTTTTCCCATTGAGTTTGCATATGTATCTACCTGTGCACATGGTTTCATAAAACCCATTCATCCAAGCACATGATCTTCATTTGGTAACAGGCTGATGCTGGATTTGGGGGTGTATCTCAGTTGGTAGAGTGCTTCCCTAGAAGCACTGGGTTCAATCCCCAGCACTGCTCAAAACCAGACATGGTGGTGCATGCCTGTAATTTTAGCACTCTGGAGATGGAGGCAGGTGGATCAGAAGTTCAAGGTTATCCTCAGCTACATAGTCAGTCTGTGCTACATTAGCCCCATCTCAGAAACAACAAAAAAAGGTTTCTTTGGGCTGGAAAGATGGCTCAGGAGTTAAGGGTCTTGCTGTTCTTCCAGAGGAACTGCTTTGGTTCCCAGTACCCACATGAGGCCACTCACAGCCACCTAGAACTCAAGCTCCAGGGGACCCAACGCTCTCTTCTGGCCTCCGCAGGCACTGGCACACACGTGGCAGACACATACAGACACATATAAAACTGAAAGTAAAAAGCCCTAGCATATGTTTCCCTTGCTTCTTTTTGTTGCTTTCTTGAGATTCTGTTGCCCAGGCTAGCCTCACATTTGAGACTCTGTAACCCAGGCTAGCCTCACATTTGAGACTCTGTAACCCAGGCTAGCCTCACATTTGAGACTCTGTAACCCAGGCTAGGCCCACATTTGAGACCCTTCTGCCTCAGCCTTCTAAGTGCTGGGAATTTAGGTGTGCGCTGCCGCGCTCCGCTTGTTTTCTTTGCTTCTGTTCCCATTGTAAGTCCCCTCTTGACCTTCCTAAAAACACACACAGCAGCAGAGGTTAGCATCCCCTTCTTTACTTTCTTGCAGATGAAAGTTTCCCTTGTGGTGGTTTACTCACGAATAGTTCAGGCTCCTTCTCCAGTCCTTGGTATCCTAAAAAGTATCCCACCAATGTTGTATGTGCCTGGGACATACAAGTGGATAGCAGCGCCCACATCCGACTCACCTTTGAAGTGGTCAAGTGAGTAAACAGATTCTGCTTTGTATTGTTGTTTTGTTGGTTGCGTACACCAGCTTAAGCCTCTGTTTCTACTCCCCCCCCCCCGAGCTATAATGTTCACAAGTTAACTATATATTGGGGAGCCCAGTAATACTGATCAGAATTTAAATATACAAATCTTTTAATTCCAGTAGACCAGGAAGTTGGTCTACAGATAGCATTTCATGAGCACCAAGGAGGGTCACGCAGCCTTCATACAGTGGCAATAAACTGGAATTAGTCCACCTGTCCGTCAGTAGGAGATCCAGTAGCTAGATGTTGCTACAGGCACGTTTTGCTGTCACAGACTTAGTGAACATTGCTACAGAATGAGCTTCGGGAAGACAGTGAACAGTAGTAAGCTCGGCCACCATCCCTGCGTAACAGACCAGTTCCCTGGAAATAGACCAGTTCATTGGATCTGCTTCCGGGAAGGAGAACGAAGCATTGTCATGACAGGAGAGATGCTCACTTCTCACCAGAAGCCATCAAGACCACTTAAATCTAGCTTGTGAGCTTACAATGCATATTCAGAAAGTGCCATTAAAAGATACTTAGAAATAGGCAAGTACCTTTTGCTCGTGGTTACACTTTTGCTCGTAGGTCAGCCCTTCTTACAACCAGTGTAAAGAGATATGGGTTTCCAGTAGCTTTGCTTGACTTTTGCTGAACACATTTGGGCAACTGCTGACCGGAAAAAGGCCCAAGGGACTGAGTTTGAATGACACCATTTCATTCACAGAATAGAAAACTTCTACGGCTGTCCCTATGACTTCATTGAAATCTTTGATGGCCCACAAAGTGAAGCTTTTTCACTGGGGAGGTTCTGCTCAGAAACAACCCCAGTATTTACCTCTTCATCAAACCACATGAGTGTGGTGTTCCACAGTGACGCAATCGTCACCAACATTGGGTTCTATGCATCTTATGAGTCTCTGATGCAAGATGAGAAAGACACAGGTAGGTCTTTTATCATTTCAGCCACTGGCCCTGCTCAGCAATCATGGGGATCTCAGATGACTACTCAGCCAATGGGTGCTAAGGATTTGAAAGGGTTCCCAAGATCTCCAAAACTCATATCTTCTAAGATGTGCCTTGCAGAGACTGGCTGAACAGTGATACTGTTTACTGCCCTGGACTAGTGCATGCACGCACATACTCCCTGAGGTTAGAGTCCCCTGAACCATGTTAAGAAAGGAGATGTGGCCAGTCCTGTGATCCAGCTTGTTTCATTCATGACCATGTTGAAGGATGAATGTTGGCATGCTTGATGGTTGTTACTTTACAAAAAGCTTTTGAGAGCCCTCTTTGAGTTCTGTGAAGTATGAAATTAACCCTAATTGGGGTCAGTTGTGAAACATCCCCCATGTTTACATTAAGATCAAGCCCAGGGTGATTTTTGCCATCAGTTTGAACCCACAAAGAGAGGGTAGAACCTGCAAAGCTAGCCAGGACTGAAGCCAGGCCCTCCTTTCCGGTGCTCGTTGATAAAAGGGTAGTCCCAGGGTGGAGACCCATTATGTCTGTCTTTCTCAGATGTGGCTCTTAGACTAGCCAATGGCAGCCACCCATGCGAGGGCCGTGTGGAGCTGTACCACAACGGCAGCTGGGGCACGGTGTGTGACGACAGCTGGGACCTGCGCGATGCCCAGGTGGTATGCCGGCACCTGGGCTGTGGTGGGGCCGTGGCAGCTGTTGGGCGAGCACATTTTGAGCGAGGCCTGGGCCCCATTGCCCTGGATGATGTAGACTGCATGGGGACAGAAGCCAGACTGTGGCAGTGTCCGCACCGTGGCTGGTTCGCTCACAACTGTGGCCACCATGAGGATGCTGGTGCCATCTGCTCAGGTAGGACAGGCTCTGAGCCAGCGGCTTGGGCCAATGACATTCCAGTCCTGGGAACTTCCTGCCCAGCCACACATAAAACAGGAAGGAAATCCAGACCGCTATTCCCACACATCAGCCATCCAGAACCCCGCCATATTCACTCACTACCCAAGGTGTGAGCCTCATAACTCTTTCCTTTAATCTGGCTCTTTTTACTTACATAAGTTCCTCTTACAAAGAATTTTCAACCTTTATCAGCATTCACAAAGAGCCAGGGCCACTTGCTGCAAACAGACCATACTTAGACACAGTGACAATAAAATTATGTTGGAAAAAACTTTTTAAAATGGTTGAGTTAATTTCCAATCAATTCATTCCCATGCATATCCAAAAATGTCTTTTTGAGAATGGAGTTAAGCGTACATTTAAAAATCTTAATACTGGGCTGGAGAGATGGCTCAGTGGTTAAGAACACTGGCTATTCTTGCAGAAGACTTGGGTTCGAATCCCAGCACCCACGTGGCAGCTAACAACTATCTGTAACTCCAGTTCCAGGAGCTCCAACAGCCTCTTCTGTCCTCTGCAGGCATTACACAACACAGGTGCACTTACGTACATACAGGCAATACACACATACACATAAAATCAAAATAATAAAAAAAATCTTAATACTTAATCATTTTATTATTAATCATTTTATTATTTTTATTTTATGTGTATGAGTGTATTGCCTCATGTATATAAGGGCATTGTGCAGTGTAATGTCCACAAAAGTCAGAAGAAGGCATCGGATCCCTTGGAACTAGTGTTATGGACGGCTGTTAGCCACCATGTTTGTGCTGGGAACCGATTCCAGTTCCTTTACAAGACCAACCGGTGCTCTGAACTGCTGAGCCATCTCTCCAGCCCCTTTTAAGAGAATATTTTATTATTTTGACTTTAGGGGACTGGAGAGATGGCTCAGCAATTAAGAGCACTAGTTGCTCTTGCAGAGGACCCGGGTTCGATTCCCAGCACCTACATGGCAGCTAACAACTGTCCATAACTCTGGCTCCAGAGGAATCTGAAGCCCTCTTCTGACCTCTCAGGCATTGCACGACACAGGTGCACTTACATACATGTAGGCAATATACTCATACACATAACAAAAAACATATTAAAAGTATTATTTTTACCTTATGTGTATGAGCTTGCATGTATGTAAGTAAACATGCAAGTGTTAAGGTAGAAAGCACCACCTCAAATTAGGTCAGTCCCACCAGGGACATGTCACATCTCTGGGAAACTTTTCTTTGGTTTAATCCTCTCATTTTCCATGAAACCCAGATACTTTTTCTAAGAGCATAGAGGCCTGAGTCTACCACAGACTCTTATTCCTAAGTTTTATCCCAGTTGAATTTCTACAGATATATCCAGTCATTGAAGTCAAAATTCTCCACCTATCTCTGTATCCTGCTAGGGCTGGTGGGAAAGGACAGACTGGCTTATCAGGTAGCGATGAGAGAATAAAGGAGCATAGAAGGTGAAGCTACAAGAAGGTTCTCAAAAGAAGAGAGGGGAAGCGTCAAGGGAGAGAATCCAGTGTTCTGAGTAAGGGAGCCGAGCCCGTGTGGCAAGTGTGACATCAGAAGACAAGCAAATCAGTGTCTCAATTGCCAGGAGGTTTGAAGGGCTCTCTTAGCTGTTGAAGTGAGCCTGAGGAGCGGAAGGGCCGCCGAACAGAACCCAAGTTCCTTTCATTCCTTACCTTGTCCATCGCCACACATTCCTCCCTGTGCTAAGGTTGTGCATTGAGACAAGTTCATCTTGCCTTTTACCAACTGAAGTTTACCCCAGGAGTTCAAAGCCATCCTCAGCTACATAGTGAGTTGGAGGCCAGGGTAGACTACAGGACACCCTTGTCTCAAATAAATAAATAAATTTAATTTAATAAAAAATTAAAATTGCAGACCAAAACAACTGGCAAGACAAACTCTTCACACAAGGTCACCATCACCGGGGCCAAAGTCTATCAAAAGAAAAGAAAATTATAATCCAGTGTCCAGTAGTGGGATAGAAATGGACCCAGAGGTCCAGAAGCTCAGGTGGTAACTCTGGGCCACTCTTAGAAGCCAAAGTGGGGTACATCTGGTTTTGGTTTCTCCCCCAAACAAAATATTGTTCCTTTCTGATTCAAATATGCAAGTGTAATTGTGGGGTTCTGCAGATGAAGAGAGATGACTGGCCCTCCGTCTCATGCCTTTCACAGCCTCTCTGACTTACCCAGCACCAACAGCTCCTATGAGTGGTGTGATTTCAGGTAATTTCAGTTGTTTTTGATTGATCAACAAGCTGTTGGGAAGTAGATTAGTGATTTGGGGCCAAACACCCTGTCGTCAGCATTTCCCAACTCTAGCGAACTTCTGAACTGTTTCAAGTCTTATTTTCCTCCCCTGGGTGAGCTGGTATGGATGGCAACATCTGCCTGTTAAGGCTATGTTGGGATTGGGCGACTTTCCCTGTGAGAAGGGATAGGGCAGTGCCTGCCATATGACCAGGCATGCCACTTAGGCATCAGCCCTTCTGACTTCCGAGGCCAGAGCACTGCGGAAGGTTCTCTCTGTATACTGCTTTTTCCTTGGCAAATTAAGAATGAAGAAGCCAAAAGCATCACTTTTTTTTTGTTTGCTCTGGTCTCTTTTGGTCCCAGTAGTTGTCACATTTCAGTCAGTCAGTTGCTCTTCCAGGGCAGGTTTGTTTTTAAATTTTATTGAGAATTTCCTACATGCATATAAGGTGTTTTGATCAAACCCATTTCCAATCCCTCCCCTCCACCAGGGCAGGTTTTTAAGAGCAAAGTTCAGCATGCAGAGAAGAGTTGGGAGAGAGAAGTGACCTCATGCCTCCAGCGGAAGTGCAGGGTGGATTATTCTGGCAGCAAAGGCCCCCAAAAGATGATTTTTTCACTTTACACTGTATCTGTTCTTTTTTTTTAAAAAAGGCTATTAACCCCAGGCTTTGGTTCCTTGAGCTTGTAAAGTGGTTTGTGTTCATCGTGCACATGGACTGGGGGGAGGGGGAGCAGAGTACTCTACAAAGAAAGGGTACCAGAAGAGAATGTGATTTAGAATGAGAAATTGCCTGTAGATAATCCAGGAGGTGGAGAGCTCATTGACAGTTGGCCAAGGTGTAACCGAAATGTTACATAATTTTCTTCTTTTGTTTTCTGTTCATCCTTAGCATCTTCTGTAAAGCAACCAGAGGTGTCCACACCAACAGGTAACATTTCTTTACTTGCCTTTCCTTTGTAGAGTTTGAGCACAGACAGAGTCCAGCATTGTGGTGGCAGAAGCAGCCCTGCCACACACACTGCCCCATTGTCCTCCCCAGCTCAAGATGGCCCTGCAAGCGTTGGCTGGAGGAGGAAGGGCGAGGAGGGCCCTGCCCATCTAGAAAACCTGGGGCTAGAAAGTGAGAGGGAAGAAAATGCTGCTACATGTAGAAATGACTTGCAGGGGCTGAGGGTGGTTTGGAAGCCGACACCTGTTAAGGGTCAGGGTATCATCTTACTGAATTTCAGTTTCTACCCAGTCCCACCTAGGAACTGCCTTGGTTCTGTTCTGAGCTTCTACTCCTTTTTGACACAACCACCTTTAAAATATTTTATTTATTTATTTATTTATTTATTTGAATGTATTTATTTATTTATTTATTTATTTTTAATGTGTATGAGTGTATTGCCTGCATATATGTAAGTGCACCCTTGTCATGCAGTGCCCACAGAGGTCAGAAGAAGGCATCAGATCCCTTGGAATTGGAGTTATAGACAGTTGTTAGCTGCCATGTGGGTGCTGGGAACCAAACCCAGGTCCTCTGCAAGAGCAGCCAGTGTTCTTAACCACTGAGCCATCTCTCCAACCCCCACAAACACCTTTAAATATGAGCATCAGCTGCAATGACTACCCTTCACATTCCCTGGAACACCTTGACACAGGGCTGTCACTGGATCCTGGTATCTACTGTTATTACTTGATGTTGGCAAGGACACACACACACACACACACACACACACACCAGTTAGTGTAACTCCTTGTGAGACTATAACTAACTTAGTGAATGACAGAAACCAACACTTACAGCATACAGTGAAAGAGCTGTGGGGCAGGTCTCTGGTCCTGTTGACCAAATAGTCATCTCTTTCCTCTTTTTGTAAATTTTTTATTGAATTTCTGTGTATTTCACGCATAACATCATCTTTATGCCCCTTTCTCCATTGGCGCCCTCCCATAGCATCCCCCCCCGCCCAGTGGATTTCATTCAGTCATTTATGTTAAGGCCTATCAAATCAAGTTAGTGTCCCCAGACATCTCTCAGTGAAAATTCATCCACTGAGGTCTAGTCAGCCCGTTTAGAGTCCCTCCCTTTAAGAAGATCAGCTCTTTCTCACTCAGCAGTAATCAGCTGCCAATAGTTCCTTGGCTAAGATTGGGGCCTGCTGCCCATTTCCACAGTTCTGTGCTGGGTTTTTGTCTGCTTGAGTTTGCGTAGGTCTTGTGCATGATGTCACCATTGCTGTAGATTCATATGAACAAGGTCCCAGGAGCCTGTAGGATTCTCTTTCCATATGATCATGCACCTCCTCCCTGACTCTTACAATCATTCTGCCCCCTCTGCTACAATGGTCCCTGAGGCCTGGGTGGGTGGAATTTAGTATAGGAATCCTGTTCAAGGACCCACACTCTGTGATCCTTTAAGCTTCGGTCATTTGTGTCCTTTTGTGTTCATGGTCCTCTGTTGCATGAGGAGCTTCACTGATGAGAGCTGAGAGATGCACTAGTGTCCCCTCTACCCCTTGTTTCACTGTGTTCCATGAGCCTTAGGTGTAGAAGTTGCATTGTAGATGTGTTACTTAGGGCTGGGAAATTCACAAGCAATCTGTGTGTGGCCAGTTGTGGAACACTGTAATAATCTCCATCTGTTGCAAAAGAAGTTTCTCTGATGAGTGGTGACTGGGATACTTGTCTGTAAATGCTAGGATTCATATTTTGCACATAGTAAAAATTTACATTTGGCACTGGAGAGATGGGTCAGAAGTTAACAGCACTGGCTGCTCTTACAGAGGACCCAGGTTCAATGCCCAGCACCCACATGGGGGCTAACAACCTCTGTAACTCCAGTTCCAGGGGATCCAATGCCCTCTTCTGGCCTCCACAGGCATTGCACAACATGAGTGCACTTACCATGTAGGCAATACACTCATACACATAAAATAAAAATAAATTTAGAAAAAAAGATATTACGTTTGTCTAGGGATGTGACGATCTTGGGGTTTTCTCTAAGATCTGTGACCTCTCCAGCCATGTGTACTTGGCTGTGCTTACAGTATCATACATGAGTTTCATTCCACTGAGTGGGCTTTAAGTTCAATTAGGTAGCTGCTGATGACCCCAAGATAAAAGTGCCACTACTGCCCTGATATAGTTTGTTATGCTGGTCATTGTTGTGGTTATTAGGCCTTAAAGCTGGGGTTGGACCATCAACTGGTGTTCTCCCTTACCAGCTTGCATAGTGCTCTTCAAAACTATGAGAGCTAGCCTTCAGGGAAGGTGGCTTCCAGGTCATTTCCAGCTCCGTTGCTCCAAATTCTGTGTCCAAAGTATGTCCTGTCCTCAGAAATAGGGTCTTACCTTCAAGTTCTGAGAGGCAATCAAGGGCTGTGGCAATAGCCTGTGTAATTTTGAGTCTCTGACTACCCTGGCTAACAACTCAAAGGAAGGTTTCTCCTGTCTGGCGCTGTTTTCTTATGTTACCTTCAGCTGTACACATGGACTCATGTAGAGACATTGTATACGTAATTTTTCAGTAGGTTTTTGGACTAATAGAATTCCCTCAGATTCACTTCTTTACTAAGAATAATCTTCGATACACACTGAGAGGTACCAAGGGCATAAACTGAGTTGAAATAAAATGAAATGAAAGAGAAGTGGGTTTGCTGTCCTTGACTGTCAGTGAATGACTCCCAGGAAACACCTGGTTCCTCTGATGAACCCCTTATGGCGGTCTCTCTTCAAACTCCCCACCAAGGTGATCTGCGGCTGGTGAATGGGACAAGCAAGTGTGAGGGCCGAGTCGAGGTCTACTATGCCAACACCTGGGGCACCGTGTGTGATGATAACTGGTCCATAGAGGATGCCCACGTGGTCTGCAAACAGCTTGGGTGTGGCCTGGCCTTATCTGCCCTCCCAGGGGCCAGCTTTGGCCCTGGGTCAGGCAGCATCATCCTTGATGATGTCAACTGCACGGGACAGGAGTCCTCCCTGTCACAGTGTCTTCATGGCGACTGGCTCACCCACAACTGTGGGCACCAGGAAGATGCCGGTGTCATCTGCTCAGGTAAGGAAAGATCCATGCTAGGCCCATCACAGAACTGCCCAGACCTGAACACCAACATGCTTTTTGCCTGTCCCCATGTTCATGACAGTGAGTTTCTGTTCCAACATTGAAAAATATACCTGCCGTGGAATACTTATAGTGGCCACATTCAAAGTGAGGGTCTAAAGAATTTAATTAGCCACAAGATAAAGAGAGTAACAGTACTTATCTCAGAGAGTTGGTGGGACTAAACTAGGCAATCCACATAGAATGTTTGGTCAAGCAAGGAGAAACCATAAATCATCCCCAAAATATTGCTAGCTGTTATAAATTTAGTTACTAAGGCAAATTCTGACAGAATCATTGCCTGAGATTTTAGGCGAGTGAGAGCTCACAGCAGAGGGGACAGCCTTGGAGGCCTACTAAGAATAGATCATACCCAGCTTCCTTTGATCGGTTTAAGCAAGGACAGTGATCTTTAAGCCACTGCATGATCGTGGCTTCTAATGCCTGCCACCCTTGTGTTTCCCTTCTCTCTGTAGATTCGGCAGCGTCTGGACATCCAGGTATCTATGACTTCGTGGCCATTATATTTCCTGACCGGTGACTAGAGTCCAGTGAGCTTTAATCTTCTTTGACAATTCCCTAAACTCTAAGCTCTTCCAGAAAGTGAAGACCCAGGGCTGTTTAAGTCCCTAGGGCCCTGCCATGCACAAAGAGGAAAGGTGTTCTGGGTATTAACAGGCCGACTGTCATCCCTTCTGCACATTAGCACCACGTTTCAGCACAAAAGCCTGAACTCGAACATGATCGTTCGAACAACAGAGGCCTTGGCAGGCCAGCGGGGGCAGGTAGTTCTAGAGGCAGATGAACCTGGGGACAGGAGGGCCTGGGGGCAGGAGCTGCTTCTCTGCCCACAGCCTGTACTTGGGGCCTGGGACCTGGAGTTCAGTTCATGAACTCTGTGGTTCTAACAAGGAAGCCCTGCTATGAGGCCACATCTTCACAATCCCAATATGAACTTGCTGTGTCATTATTCACAATAATGCACACATATGCATAAGCCATTATCACATTTTTAAATGGTAACTATGTGGTCATCAACTTGACTGTTGTTTAAAGACAAACACATGGGACTGGAAGGATGGCTCAGCAGTTAAGAACACTGGCTGTTCTTGCAGAAGACCCAGGTTTGAAACCCAGCACCCACATGGCAGCTAACAACTGTCCATAACGCCAGTCCCAGGGGATCCAACAGCTCTTCTGACCTCACGTGGCATTGATCATGACATGGGTGCACTTACCTACATGCAGGCAATACAGGCATACACATAAAATAAAAGTAATAAGTAAAATTTTCAAAAATTAATAAATAAGTAAATAAATAAAAATGATAACACGCATATACATAAAATAAAAATAAATAAATAAATAAAATATTTTAAAGACAAACTCACTTTATGACTTAGATGGTCCTTAAGAATATGGAAGTGTACTTTGTTTACTTTGAATGTACTTATGGTGGCTCTTTTTCCATTTTTACCCATATAGCTTCTTCAACTCCTGAGGACCATCCACCCATTTTCCATGCAATAGGTACTTACCCATTCTTACAGTTTGTGATTCATTTTTCTGAGGCCATTTGTGACCAGCAGATATGTAGCAACAACACCGTGGAGACAGCATGGTAAAGTGCTTACCATGCAGCCATGAGGCTGTGAACTCAACGCCCAGAACCGGTGTGAACCAAGCTGGTGTGGTGGAGACAGGAAGCTCCCTGGGGATTACTGGCCAGCCAGCCTAGACAAACTAGAGAGTTCTTGGTCAAAGTGAGAAACCTAGTCTCAAAAAGTCAAGGTGGATGGCATCCTAAAAGCAACACCTGAGGTTTCTGAGGCCATTTGTGACCAGCAGATATGTAGCAACAACACCGTGGAGACAGCGTGGTAAAGTGCTTACCATGCAGCCATGAGGCTGTGAACTCAACACCCAGAACCCGAGAGAGAGAGACAGAGAGACACAGAGAGACAGAGAGAGACAGAGAGAGAGAGGAGGGGGATGAAATGTAGTAAGTACTGTTTCTGCGGAACCCGTGTGAACCAAGCTGGTGTGGTGGAGACAGGAAGCTCCCTGGGGATTACTGGCCAGCCAGTCTAGACAAACTAGAGAGTTCTTGGTCAAAGTGAGAAACGTAGTCTCAAAAAGTCAAGGTGGATGGCATCCTAAAAGCAACAACTGAGGTTCACCTATAATACCAGAGAGAGAGACAGAGAGACACAGAGAGACAGAGAGAGACAGAGAGAGAGGAGGGGGATGAAATGTAGTAAGTACTGTTTCTGCCGCTCTGGTGGAG